CAGCAGTCACCCCTGTGCAGAACCGGGGGGAGTGTTGTGGAATGTGATTCTCCTCAGGAATGCTGTTTTATATGGAACTGATTGTGCCACCATCTTCCCTTCCGAACGCGCGACCTGCCCTCCACCGCTGCCGAGTCAATCCTTCTGGAGCGACAATAATTGTGGTCTCCCCCAAGGAAGGCAGATGATTTACTGACGATGCTCCAGCCGCGGCCAGCCGGACGAAGAGCACAGAAGGCGACCGCGGCGGAGGCGAGCGAAAATCCGCGGGGGAGAGACAATGGCAGGGGCAGTGGTCCAATGCGCTGGGGTTTATGGGTGGAAAAGTAGGCGCATTGAGGTTCATTTTGAGTTTGATTTAGTTTGAGATTTGGCGTTTGTTTTGTATGATTCAAGCTTGGGTTTGGTTTTTCAGATCGGATTGAAGTAAGTGTGGATGAGAGGATCAGAAGTACTGTTTTGATGTTCGGCACCTCTCGTATTGTTTTTCGGCTTGACTCCGACCCCTTCACAAAGCAGGGGGGCGGATCCTCGGAGCAGGGGGGCACGTTATATTCTTTCTTTCAAACGAAATGGCGTTGCTGACATTTCTTCACCGAACATTTATGATATATTTTGAGTACTTCAGGGAGATATTTCTTCTTCGCGTTTTACCTGCGGACGAAGGTTTGGTGGATGAATGGAATAATTTGTCTTAGGATTGCATACATCTTGGTAATGGTAGGATATCTAGCTAGGCGGATTTAGAGACGCACCGAGATATTGTGACGAATTGGCGGTGAAAGGAAAGGCGTCTTTGAACGGCGTTCGTCATATTTTATTGGATGAAAAGAGTTTGAGTTGAGAATTTTCAGAAGAGAGCGAGGAGAGTGATTGGCGTGTGTTGGTATGCTATTTGGATACTTTTGTCGTGTCTGAAGTATTTTCGTTTTCTTGGTTTTGATTGTGTTTTGGGATGAACTGGTATGAGAAGGATGACTTTGATATTTTCCCCAAGCATGACCATGCATACGGCAGGGGGGCTTTTCGATATACTCGTAGCATAGCATGCGGGTGGTATATTGCGAATTCATATGCGGGTGTTGCAGTGACGAACTACGGAGGAACAAGAAGTTTCTTTTATGTTTTCCTTGGGAGTGTGGTTGGTGTAGATTCATGAAGATTCGTTTTGGGTGTTTGAGCGTTATGCGTGACTTGATGCCGTGATGGAATGACGAGCTCAAGCACGCCCCCGATTATTACAACACGTTATACAACACGTTTTCCAACATGTCTGTACGACTTTGCCTACCCCTACGGCCCGTCATGGCCGAGCTGCTCTACACTCCCATCACACACAACTGAGCCACCCGTATTATCGATCAGGTTGCACCCCCTCGCTTCCCCGTAGTCCGGTCCTATGCCCGGGCCCACTCCGGTTGGTCTCGCATGATTCGCTCCCAATCCGCTGGCCCAGCCACCTTCCAACAGCTGCCGTGGTCCTTGCCCACCATCTCTCGCTTGCTGCTGGAGAAATCCTGTTCGTGATAGTTGCTGCTGTGTGTGTCGACAGTGACGTAGAACAACTTGATTGATCGGACACTTTGCATCGCGGGACTGTCTGCGTTGAAGATCGTTGAGCTACATATTATCAGAACAGCAAGGAACGTTCTATGGGAATGTCCTTCGTGGATGGTGCATTACCCCGAGTGTGTTTCTTGTGGATAGTGCATCAGTCAGAGGATTCATGGTACGTTGTAAAGTACGTTAGCCCCTGTTTGTTGAGTCTTGTGTTCCGATATCGTTGTGTTCTGCTTTTGTGCGTTGGTGGAGCGACACGGGTGGTGGCTGCGGTGCTGCGGTGCTGTGGTGCTCCCCTCCCTTGTTCACTTTACCTTTTCACCTGTTCTCCTGGTCCAAGGTCTCAGCAATAAAACATCTTTTCCCCAGAAGCCACGAGTTTACCAACACGCTATAGCGAACCAGTCGACTGCTGCTTGTCCCCTCGGACTGTACGTCAAGACTTAACGGAGGAAGAAGGTTGATCACGTTGCTTCGTGATGCCCGGGCCTGCTGGGGATAATGTGGATGACCCATCTCCGGGTGATTCGCAGGATGTTGTTGGTGGTGAGAGATTGGACTCGATTGAGACACAGTTGTCCCAGCACACGAGCATCATTAAGTCGCTTGTTGGANTATAGCGAACCAGTCGACTGCTGCTTGTCCCCTCGGACTGTACGTCAAGACTTAACGGAGGAAGAAGGTTGATCACGTTGCTTCGTGATGCCCGGGCCTGCTGGGGATAATGTGGATGACCCATCTCCGGGTGATTCGCAGGATGTTGTTGGTGGTGAGAGATTGGACTCGATTGAGACACAGTTGTCCCAGCACACGAGCATCATTAAGTCGCTTGTTGGACAACGAGGTGATCAGGTGGAGTCCTCTGTTCCAGTAGCTGCTGCACCCGGAAGCGGCGGAACAGAGTACGCCGGTGTGCATCAATCGGATGTCACTGGCAGGACTGCGGGAAGTACGGACAGTAGTGCCCAAGGCCTTGGCATGTCCATCGTGAGAGTTGGGAGTAGTAGTGTTGCAAGCACAGGCTTGAACCCTCACAATACTGCTGTTAACCGTTCCTCTGCTGGTGTCACAAGCGTTGGTTCGGTTGGGATGGGAAGTAGGGCTTTTGGTAGTCAGTCTTTCATTCCAGGAATAGTTAGTGAAGCTTTCAGTAGCCAGTCTTCTATTCCACCCGCACCTTCAGCGTCGAGTAGGTGGTGGGAAAATGTCGCCAGTGGTACCACATTGATTCCTGGGGCCGGCATCACAGAACCAGGAGAAAACTTGGGAAGGAGCCCTTTTGAAGTTCCCAAAGCTCCTGTGTTCGACGGATCGGACGTTGCTTACCCGTCATGGTCACCAAACGTTCTACTGAGTGCCCGACACAACAACTTGTTAGAAGAATTTTCTTGTGAAGTGGGAATTCCGATCGCAAATATTGAATTCGACTTGACCGCTTGCGTAGACAAAGGATTCAGTGTGGATGTGCTGCGCCAGGAAGAAAAGAGAACGGTGAGAAGTCTGACATAGTGCTATTTTCTCAAACCAGATTGAACGACTCGCATGATCTGACGTGTCTGGTAGAGTATAACGAGGTTATGCTGCTGGAGTGCTTGTCAAGTGATGATGCTGTCCGCAAATACTCTTTATTCTTGTGAGGAAAGACAGATATGTCAAGAATGGTGTTACGGACACGGTTACTGCTGTCCACATGACAGACTCTCTCTCTAGCGTTAACGATGTGCAGTCTTGCTATTAGAACGCATGAGGGATTGATGGCGTTATTTGCGAAGTAGACCGTCTGGAACCCTGGAGGAAGTGTTCGTGATTGCTGACAGCGAGTGTTCAGTAGAGTTGAAGGTTTGTGCAACCTCTTTTCTCCCAGCGCAGTTGTTGATGGCATGTTATGAAATAGCTTCGGTGGTCTTGATGGTATGATGGCTACTTTCGACAGAACAGTTATTCTTCAGAACTTCGATGACATGGTTGTTGCTATTGTGTATCGTCTGGGTGATGAATCTGTCGGTTCGGTGTTAGCTGCCTTCACCCTTCTAGACCCCAAAGCAACGATAGATAATGGATGTAATCGAGTTTCATAACATTTATGCTCATTCACATGAAGGATTACTTCGTACAACAGCAAAACGACTAGGTATGGAGTTGACCGGTAATATGAATGCTTGTACGGGGTGTTCGATGTCGAAGGCATTCAAGAAAGGAATTGCTAATGAAACAAGATGCAGATCGGACAANGGATTACTTCGTACAACAGCAAAACGACTAGGTATGGAGTTGACCGGTAATATGAATGCTTGTACGGGGTGTTCGATGTCGAAGGCATTCAAGAAAGGAATTGCTAATGAAACAAGATGCAGATCGGACAATAAGTTGGGCAGAGTTTTTGTTGACCTGGGAGGGCGGAAGGACGTTGCGTCCGTAGGGGGTAAACATTACCCCATGATAGTGAAGGATGATTTCACAAGACGTACATGGATGTATTTCCTGATAAATAAGTAAATCAGACGCTGCGAGTGTTCTCCGAAGTTTTCTCGCAAGTGTGCGTGCTGATGGTATCCCATCATTGGTTGAAATTGCTAGATCTGACAATGGGGGGGAGTATTTCGGTGGAGAATTTGCGTCTGTGTGCAACGAGCTCTTGATGAAGCAAGAGTTCACCCCGGCTTACAGTCCCCAATACAACGGTGTTGCAGAATGTGGTTTGGGATCGATTGAGGTGGCGGCAATGGCTGCCCGTGTTCAGGCAAAAGTTTTGTTTGGGCATGTGCAATTACCTAAAGACTGATAGACTATGGGCTGAGGCCATGCACTGGGCTTGCGAAGCAATTAACCACACAGCTTGTACGGAGATGTGGCATGGTGAAGCTAGTCATGCTAGACCGTATCCGTTTTTGAAACCGGCTTACTGTAGGTGGCAGCGACCGTCTAAGCTACTGCCGAAGGGCGAGGCTTGCTTTAATTTCGGTCCTTCGAGAGACCACCCGCCTGACTGTCATAGGTCACGTACGAGGGCTGGCACTATTCAGGAAACGAGGAATGTGACGTGGGAAGCGTTGCCGTCACAACCCCCTCCACCGCAACCGTCTCTCTTGCAGATTGAGGTCGCAGAGGAGGGAGTGGAGGGACGTGACGACGATGTAGAAGCTGAGGTATGACCGCTTTTAGGGAGAGGAGTTCCCCACATTCTTTTGCGACGTAATGCAACGGTCTCTGGTTAAGCAATCGATGAGGTTGGCAGTGTTGATGCAGGCAGTGTAGGTCAACCCCCCTCTGTGCCATCTTCGCCCGCGATTGGTTCCCCTATTAGTAGTAGCGAAGCCCTCCCTTTGTCTTCTCCAGCAGACGAGATCACCGATGAGGGAGGGCCGGAAGGGCCGGAGACAGGGGAGGCAGAATCGGCGGGTCCGGGTGGGCAGGAGGTAGAGTCGGAGAGTCAGGAAGGATTGGATGAAGAGTTGGTTGAGCCGGGAGGGCAGGAGGTAGAATCGAAGTAATTTCCCCCTGCTCCGCACGTACCATCTAATCGTCGTGCGCGGCATGAGCTTGCCAGTTACAACAGTGCTGCAAATGAGAATGTTGAAATCAGAGAAGGCAGAACCTTGAAATCAGAGAAGGCAGAACCCGTGCGCAAACTTGGGCCGTAAACCAGCAGAGCGTATCCGGTCTCACGGTCACTCTAGGAACTATTTCCGCATCTGAAATTACAGAAGCACTCTTAGTGGAGCAGAGAGCGTCTGATACTATGGAACTGCCGAGAGAGCTCATTCAGGATGTAGAGACAGAGCCTGGTAGCTACCGAGAAGCCCGCCAGTCAAAACATACCGTGATTTGGGACCAAGCCATGTGTGCAGAGGTTGAAGGCTTGTTAAGAGCAGGAATGTTCGCGCTAGCAGTAAAGGTCCCGATAGACTGTAACGTGATAGATGCTAGATGGGTCTATATATGGAGAGCAGAAAAAAACAGGCAATATAGTGAAGGCCAAGGCTAAGCTTGTAGCGGAGGGCTTCAAGCAGAAGTATGGTGTGGATTGTCTTGAGACTTTCTCGCCTACTGCAAATGCTGCATCGGTTCGTTTGTTGGTAGCATTGGCGTGCAAGAATGATTTGGAATTTCTCCACTTTTGACATTGAGCAAGCGTTTGTTCAGTCGGAATTGGATCATGAGGTGTTCATGAAGTTGCCTCCTGGCTGCGAGTCGATGTCAGGAAAGGTCGTCCGTGTGGACAAGAGCTTGGATGGACTGAGGCAGGCATGTAGAACATTTCTAAAGGNCATGAAGTTGCCTCCTGGCTGCGAGTCGATGTCAGGAAAGGTCGTCCGTTTAGACAAGAGTTTGGAGGGACTGAGGCAGGTATGTAGAACATTTCTCAAGAGATTTGTGTCGGACCTTAAGAGGGTTAGTGTCGAACAATCTCTATCTGACCCCTGTGTTCTGCGTTTCATGATGAGAAACGAGGTGATGGGTATGATCGCGATTCATGTGGATGACTTTCTGTATGGAGGAATTGAGAGTCTTGCCAAGATCGTTGTGCAAGCGCTAGGTGGCTCTTTTCACACGAAGAATTTTGGCGAGGTCAAGTTCTTTCATGGTTGCGCATTTAGTCGCGACCGCGAGGCTGGCAAGATTGAGATGTCTCAAGAGCGTTGCGTCAGGAGTGTTCTCGAGAGATTCAATATTTGTCGCACCAGCTCGACCCTGCTCCCCCTATTAGTGTCTACAGGTCCGTGATGGAGGAGGAGGAGGCAGGGGATGCGCCATTCCGAGAGGTGGTGGTGAGCCTGATGTGGATCGCCAACCAGACGAGGCCCGACATCTCAAATGCTGTGCGGGCGGTGGCGAGGCACTCTCACGAGCCAAAGAAAAGCCACTGGAAGGCGGCCCAGAAGATTCTGAATTATCTTCTGGAAACGGCACATTAGATTTTGAAGTACACGCAGGACACTATGGTAGACGTACTCACGTTGGTGTACGTAGACGCAGACTTCGCCAGTAAGGCCACTGACCATAGATCAGTTTCGGGAGCACTAGTTCTTGTAGCTGACTGTCTTGTTGCTTGGATTTCTAGGACGCAGAAATGTGTCACACTTTCAACAACTGAAGCAGAGTATGTTGCGATGGGTGACGGTGTAAAGAGGCTCTCTTTGTCAACGGAATGCTCGAGTTCTTGAGGCCAAGTGATAGAATCGGTAAGATTCAGGTACGAGAGGACAACGAGGGTGTGATTGCACTTGNCGAAGGACAGCATGCGGACATTCTGACGAAGGCTCTGCCGAGAGATCTTTTTGAAGTTCATCGTAATTTTGCTCTAGGTTTGATTTCTGAGAAGTAGTCTTAGAGACCTGAGTTGTGTTTTATTTTGGTTGTTGTTATTCTGATATATATTTGATCTGGTCGAGACAACAGCCCCAAGGGAGGGTGTTCGTGATAGTTGCTGCTGTGTGTGTCGACAGTGACGTAAAACAACTTGATCGGACACTTTCCATTGCGGGACNGTTCGTGTAACAGTAAGCACATTGACGTGAGGCACCACTTTCTCAGAAATCAGACATGTTTCTAGCGAAGGACAGCATGCGGACATTCTGACGAGAGATCTTTCTTGAGTTCATCGTAATTTTGCTCTAGGTTTGATTTCTGTAAAGTAGTCTACAGACCTGAGTTGTGTTCAATTTTGGTTGTTGTTATTCTGATATATATTTGATCTGGTCGAGACAACAGCCCCAAGGGAGGGTGTTCGTGATAGTTGCTGCTGTGTGTGTCGACAGTGACGTAAAACAACTTGATCGGACACTTTCCATTGCGGGACTTGCGGGACTGTCTGCGTTGAAGATCGTTGAGTAGCCACATATTATCAGAACAGCAAGGAACGTTCTGTGGGAATGTTCTTGTGGATGATGCATTACCCCGAGTGTGTTTCTTGTGGATAGTGCATCAGTCAGAGGATTCATGGAACGTTGTAAAGTACGTTAGCCCCTGTTTGTTGAGTCCTTGTGTTCCGACATCGTTGTGTTCTGCTTTTGTGCGTTGGTCGAGCGACACGGGTGGTGGCTGCGGTGCTGCGGTGCTGTGGTGCGCCCCACCCTTGCTCACTTCACCTTTTCACCTGTTCTCCTGGTCCAAGGTCTCAGCAATAAAACATCTTTTTCCCAGAAGCCACGAGTTTACCGACAAATCCCCCGCCACCGCCGAGCGGCAGCGTGGGCTCTTGTTGCCCCACCCCCGTGGCGGCAACCCAGCCTCCTCTACTGGCTGCATCCGCCACGACGCTGCCAGGCTCCTTCTTGTTCACCGACTCCTCTACTAGGGCCGCCAAATGCGGAATCTGCCGTTCGTTGCAAACTTGCAAGCTCTGCGTCGCGGCCTTCCTCCACCGGCGACCAGGTCTGCTCTCCGCTCGCAGCAGTGGGCACCTCATCTCCGGCAGAGCTCATCCCGATGTGGCTCCCCTCGAGGGGCAAACCTCTGAAGAGTGTTTGCGGCCTACGCCACACATTTATTGGGTAAGACTGTCTTGGTGATGCATTAGCTTCAACAGAGGTAGACGACCGTCCTTCACACGGACGAAAGAGGGAGTGCCCCACATGGGCAGCTCCTACACCAATGAGGGTCCACGTGACTCATCGCGGTGCCCCCTACCAAACGGCAATCTTTCTAATCCGCGTGACACCAAAATCATACAGCACATGTATCCAACACCAATGTTCGCACAGCCACGAACAGCACACGCGCATGAAGATCGACCAAGTGTTTTCTCGGTGAGCCCTTCGCAGCAACGCTTCGAGGCTATGTCTGCACATGCACATTTATTTGAGGTAACCTTGCGTCAATTGGTCGATCAGCGTTCGCGAACACGCGAGAAGATATCTCAAACTGATTCAGTTTGAACACCATTCTGTAGTGCCACCTCGCTGCGTTAATCTAGCAATGAAAGCATTAAGATGGCCGCCCAGGTAATTTACTTGGATTGTACCACCCATGTGTAGTGAATGGAGGGTATCGCTTCGCGTCGGGTAAACGTCGTACCATTCACAAGTGAAAATGGCGGGCCAACCGCGAGGCTTTCTTTAACGTATGTACTCCAGGTTCCTCCGTAGTGGCAGACACACAACATATACCACAGCAAAGACAACTTGTCCAACGCTGTCACGTACATGGCTCAGAATGAACGAGGAGCCTCCCGTTCCTCCCATTCTGTGGCGGATAGTGGTAGCCCTTCAAGTGAATATGTGAATCCCGCCCGAAACTTTGTCGTTGATGCTACAAATGTCAGCCTGTTAATTTGGACAAATACCAGTTTTGGTCCACCTGCCGTCGGAAGGGTTGCAATATCATGAGTACAACAATCGTCTATTCGTTTTAAGGCGAATGCCTCGGGATGGAGCGACCGATACACGGGGGAATTTTTATTATGGGCCCGAGCGCGTATTGTTTGCTCGATGCTGCCTAAGGCCGCTCATTTCCCTGTAATTGAGAAATGAAAATTGTTTGCCGATCATTGCAGGCTGCACGTGTCACGACGTACCCCCGGGGAAGGTCGGTGAAACGTTTTTGACTGTTTGCTTCTCATAGGACCTACCTGCACAGACCAAGCACGCAAACTGTATGTGCGGGACACTTGGTGTGCAACAAGTGACGACGGTTCTCGCATGCTGTAACTTGATTTGGATGATCTCTTAACGTGCCACGTACCCATTCAGTATCCGTTGTAGCCTTGGACTCCGCAAGAGAGGATCAAAGCGCGCGCAAAGGGTGCCCCAGACAAAGCTGGTTGTCCCCTGCGGAGCCTCTTAGATTGATACTTCGGAAAAAGACTACCGGTTGGTTTTCTTAAAGAACTTGGGTACTTCTGTGCTGAAGGAATGTTTTTTCTTGAACCCTTGACATTTGTTACATACAGTAGTGCGGGGGGGGGGGGGGGGGGGGGGGGGGG